CTCCCCCCCCCCAGACTGGAGGAAAAAACATCAATACTATTTCCATTCCTCAAAGAACATTTGTTAACTATATTGGTTTTCCTGAGAATGCTGTCATCTGAAGTTAATTCCACAAACGTGTAAATATTAGAGACTTTAATATATTATTGGAATTGTATTTATCTAAATTTTGCATAAATATCTGTTCTTAAATGACCCAAACTTAAAATTATAAAGTAAGCCTTAGGGTATAGACATATGAGCAATTTACCTTCAGGCAAAAGGGGTGGGATTTTATTGATATTTTTTTAGGTGTTCTGCAGAAGGTGCCCATGTGCATGATGTTACCGTGTGGTAAGTGAAGCAGATCCATGGTAGCTTAGTCCTCAGTTAAAGAAGGGAAAGCTATTTCTGTTAAGCTTCCACTTACCATAGGGTAAGAGCATACCCAGAGACCAGTATTGGAGTGCAGCTGATGTATTATGATAAAGCCCCACCCACCTCTACCCTGCAGTAAATTGTTTGCATACCTTTAGATACACAGGGAGGTGATATTGTGATTGGATACAATTTGTAAAATGTTGGAGGAAGTCGTTTAAAGTAGAAAATGAGCCATTTTCTACCAGTGAGAGATTCATCGTGGATATGTTATGGTATCTCTTGTTAGGTGTATGAGTTTAGAGTAAAGGAATCTAGTATTATTGCTCCAGCTCCTGCTGAAGATGTTGATACCCCTCCAAGAAAGAAGAAAAGGAAACACAGGTAAATCTGTTACTAAATAAATGTAGATGTTAAACATGAATCAGTGGTAAACAAGAATATTGGAAGAAAAAACATAACTTTATTTTTTCCCTAGCTCCTTTTTGTCCCAAAAAAGCAAAACCTGCAGATATGAAACTGATTTGTCCAATTTTTCAGTTATTTTGGTCTCATTCAGAAGTATTACTTTTAAAAGCGTAACAACAAAAAACATTTGTTTTTATAAATACTTAAGTTAGTGTTAACAGACTCTTAAAGTGTCCTGTTGTATTGAAGCTAGTAAATTCAAGCTAGGGTTAGAAACTCAATACTCCAAGACTATTGGTTATAATATTTTACCTTTTATAATGTTTTTTTTTAAGTTGTGGTTGCATGTATTGGTCAGATTAAAAAGTCAGTATGTTTTGCTAATGGCAGATTGTTTCCTTATATTGACATTCATTACATCATTTGCCATACATGAATACTAAGTCCTACTGTGCTTGCAGATTAAGACATACAACCTCCCTCTAAAAATAAAAAAAAAAGAAATAAACAATACTTGCCACCTATGTATGCTCAAATAGCCTAGCTTGCTTACTAGCTAGGTATTTCAGTTAGAGTCATAACGGTAGGTTGCTAAATTTCCAGGACCAAACAAAGATCATGTGGTAGCTTATCTTTTCTTGCGTTAAGTGACAGGTAGAGCCATGAGGAAGTTCCTCTTAGGAACGAAAGCCGATTCAAAACTAAGTTGGTTAAATTTAAACTTTGAAATGCAGAGAGAAGAAAATTCTTAAATGTTTCCTTCATCTGCCTACTGCTGCATTATTTTATTTTACAGAATAACCTTTTTTGCTGCAGACAATTTTTTAGTTATAAATTTTGGAACTAACAGAAGCCTGCATTAGACTACGGCTTCTGAGATGCCAGAGCCACATGCCGCGCAGGCTGCTTGCCATGCAGGCATCCCCTCTTCCCTGGCAGCCCCGCTCTATCCCAGCTGCATGTGCAGCCCTATTCTCCAGCCAGGCAAGCTGTGTGGCTAGCTCCCATCTGCTGCTCCCGCACATGATACTTCTTCCCTTCCTGCCCTTGGCACCCTGGAATTCCTGCCATGCATGTAGCTTTGGTATCCCGGGGCAGGGGCAGAAAATGGGAGGAGGAGGGGGAGCCCAGAGACCTCAGCTGTCGCCACAACGGGAGTAATGTGGGGAGTGGGGATTGGGCAGGAGTCCTTGTGCTGCATGTGGTCTGTGGGCTGTCCCTTGGCCAGTCCTGCATTAGACAGTTTTGTGTGGTCCTAAAAGGCTGAGAGAAAAATGAAGATAAATAAGCTAAAATTTATGCCAAGCACACACACCTCCAACAGGGCTTTCTTCCTCCCCTTTATTCATTCTTACTATTGATCCTTGCAGTTGTCCTGGCTGTTTCCCCACGTATTTCTTGATGTTCATGCTTAGTGAAACCTCTGATTGTGGTGGAGAAGCTTTTGCAGGGCTTTAACTTTAATCTGCCTACTTGTAGGATAGACATCTGGCATTGGGTGGGGAAAAAAAAGGAGTTGGTGAGAAGCTAGAAGAGAATGTGCTTTCCTTGGAGCAGAGTACTGAGTACTCCCGGGCATGCTTTGCACATGGTGCACAGTACTAGCGGCCGGTGGTGCACACAGCTCCCCGATGAACTGGCCCCACTCAGTGACCCTCATCTGTCCTGTGGGGCTGGATGAATTTGAAACCACTGCTCTAAAATATTGTCGTACTGTGTCTTTGAAAATCGAAACCAATAGCCTCAGTTACCATTTTTGAAGCTGGAATAGACTGTATATCAATTAACCAACAGATTAATGTTGGTTGGGAGATTTTGACTTCATTAAAAAAAGGCTTGAAAATACTATATGCCAGTGGGGGTTTTTTCCTGATTGTTTGCCAGTATCAATAATAATGTGTGTTAATGATGGGTAATTTTGTAACAGCTTTAATGTTTTTACTATATCACATTGGAGGGAAAATTGATTCTGCACTGAATTATGTCAAAGACTTAATGGGTAACATTTTTCTTCCTATGTAAGCAGCAGCTTAAGTCAAACACAAGGGCATTCTCAACCCACATACAGCCAAAGAAACATGGGGACTGCTTGGTAGAGAGAACTACAGCTTTACAAATGGCAAAAAACTTTGAATAAAGAGAGGATGAAAAAGTATATATTGACTGCACTCTGTTTAATATTAGTATTTGTAATATTAGAATATTAGTTCTATAGTTACTGTCTGTGACTCACTTGGATTTTGAACATAAGTTTCCGTTGTAGGTTGTATCGAGTCTGCTATGTGTGTCTATTTTCACAAGAGAGGTGTGTGAGAGCAATATAAGTAACTGGCTAAAGAGAGAACTTTGTAACCTCAAAAGAATATATGAGTATAGACTGGAAGGAGCGAAAAGCTCTGTACTTTTGTTGTTCGTTCTTGTAATTAGGAATTTAGTGCATCTGTTTCCAAGTAACTGCCAGTTTCTCTTGCCTTTTTGAATTGATAAGGACCAGCTGTAATTTGTAGTCTTCCCACTTGATTCCTCTTCATTGTGGCAGTTGTTCTTGAGAAGAATTTCCCTTTTTCTTGTCTTCATTCTCCAGGGCTTGGTTTTCTATGGCATCTGCCCGCAGGTTGTTGTTTGTCTTTTTATTAACTTTATTCTGTGGTCTGGCAAAAAGTATGGCTGAATCTTAGCACAAATCACTTTGTATCCCACTGGAGAGAGATAAAGGACATTTAAAGAAATCGTTATGTTCAAAAGCAAAACCTAGGCAATGGCAGAAAAACAAAATCCTGCTGCTGCTTGTGTGTTGAATTTGTCATTTTAATGGACATCTCTTTCTTGTTTCCTAGTAGTTGAAGCAAAACTGTTGTCTTATGTTGCTGGATAGAATGGAAGAATAGAGGGCAGACAGATTTGCAAGAAATAAATCTTTTTTCCACTATTCACTACAGTCCCAGTATTGTAAAAGTTCAGACAACAGCCGTACAGAACATCTGAGGAAACTTGCAGTTTTTCCAGGCAGGCTTTACCTTCCAAGTCATACATTTTCTGAAAGTTACCATATTAATAACTCTGCTTTAGGGCTGTATACTGCTGGTCATCATTGTAGTATTGGGGTGCATAATTGGATGTTGCGTTAGCCCAGCTTGTTCCCCTTCAAACCCTAATTTGATCTGTAGTCTGTGTCTTGTCCCCTCTCTCACACCTCCAGCTGTGAAACTCATTGTCCCAATATGCCTTTAATCCCATGTCTCAGAATGCTGTTTCTGGGCCCTAGTCTTTTAGCTGAGTCAGTGAGTTTGTGGCATTCATCACAAACCTTCAGATCAAGTTTTCTGCAGGTTAGGTAATCTTTCATTTTAATCGGGCCTTTTCTCTTAATTTTTGTTTAAAATCCAAGCCTTGTCTTGTATAACCCTGTTTGTTATACATGTTCTGCTATAGTTATGTTGTTATGGTAACTTGTATACTCTATTTTGCATACTGTTGCTAATATGCATATTTAGAGGTTTGGGAAGATATTACCATAATAGAACATGTATAACAAGCAGGATTACACTAGAAATTGGGTGGCACACTTGGACCTTTTCAGGGCACTAATTTGTTTTGTTATAATTAGATAATTCCTAATTCATGGACTTTTTATATAGATTAGAAGTGGAATAAAGAGCCTTGTAGACTTTCTGTAGCTATTACCTGTAGAGATGGGACTGCTAGGGTCTTTTGGGCCAAAAGGAAGAATTCATCTTTGGAGTAAATATCATTCAGCAGTGTGGTATCTGCTACAAGCTCCATGTCTTAAAATCTAGATAAAAGTGACTTAAATGAAATTTTTGGTTATGAAAACTTTTAATTTCTTGATTAAAGAACTTATTCCTCCCTTCAGTTACTTGAAAAGTCAAATCCAAAAGAGATTCCATTTGCTGAATTGATGCACATTAGTGTCCTTCTACCACAGTAAATTTGGAGTGGCCCACCCTAACAAGGAACCAAATCTGTTTTTGAATAAAATTATTTGAGTTCAGGTTTTTTTACAGACTTGACAAAGGACTGATTAAAACAGTTGTTTAACATGTTCCTTTTAGAAAAAAGTGTTTTAAGCCAGAGTTACCTGTGAGAGACTCAACTAATGGGACGCAAGATGCAACTGGTGAGCTATCAGAGGGGTGTTGAGTAGAGAATCCTATTATGTTTGGCTGAAGCTGTTGTGTGTGCAAGAAGGGAAAAGGCATTCATTCATTAGAATCCAAATTGACCTAGCACAGTGATTAAATGAAACTAAATAATTGCTGTTGGTTAAACTACTAAGTTTATTTTTTCAAAATGTGTACATTTGAGTGTGAATTTCATGGGAAATAAATGCAGATATTGTGGCTCATTTTTCTTAAATGTTTTGAACCTATTATGGGGATTTCATTACATATCATCAGCATTATTACACTTACAGTAATGAACTCTGCCTTGAAATAGAGGCCTACTGAGAAGCAAATAAACAGTATTTTTCATTGTTACAAAAAAAGTAGGTATTAATGCATACAAATTAACCCTTTGAAATACAAGTTTAGGAAGTTCTGACTGCAAACAGTTTAACTGTGTGGGTAGGATGTTTTAGCTGAGTTAGTCTTAACTGCTAAAGAATTCTGTGTATTCTGGAGCCACAGCTTTTAAGGAGGATTAAAAAAACCCACTGTTTTTTAAGTGTAAATATCACTTGTGTTAGATACTGCCTGAGGGCCAAGCAAAATTCAGGCTCTATTTTGCTAGGTACTGAATTAATGCAGAATAATTACAGTCCCTGTTCCAAAGAGCTTAAAATCTAAATGGGTAAGACTCACATATGGGAGAAGGGTATAGTACAGAGTGAAGAGTGCTATGGTGGCAAACCATGGGAGATGAGACACAAGTGTAGAGTGAAGCGGAAGTGAGAGAACTTTGAGGGTGGAGTGGGGTGGAGAAAGAGGAGTTGAACCAAACAGCCGGTTTAACAAAAGGAAGGGAAAGTCCAGTCACAACTGTAGTAAGTTCTATGACTGTGTGAAGGTCCCTTCTTTAGCTGCCTTTGCTGCTGTCCTACCAGCTGGAGTCTCTGGCTGCAGACTCTTTCAGTTTTCCTCCAAGGCAGTGTGAAGGAATAGCACTACCTTGGTCTTAGTGCCTTTAAGAGTGGGGTGGGGATCTTCCCTGGAGAGTTCTGGGTCCAGAGGGAGATTGTGGGAGGAACTGTAAACTGCTCAAAGAAGGCTGTTGCCAGATGTTTTCAATAAACTGGGATATTGTGGGGATTCTCTTGTAACAACTTCTAATTTTAAAATATTGGAAGATTGTTCATGTTGCAGAAGACTTTCCCAGACTTTGTGGGTGCATAGATGCAGCTACGTTCCCCAGCCCAATACAGGAGGAGTTCCTGTCAACCTTCTTGTGTTTGTTTTGTGTTTTTGCAGGTTGTGGGCTGCTCATTGCAGAAAGATACAGCTGAAAAAGGGTTAGCATCTTTCCATTCAACTTTGTCCTGAACTTTTAAGTTCCTAATACTGTTTTTTTTTGTTTTGTTTTGTTAAACCTGTTAGGCCATTATGTGCATTCCATGGGGAATCGGGGGTCCCGACGAAACTGGAAATAGTAGACTTGCTACCAATCCAGAAAGGACAGAAAATCATGTTTTTATGCAGCTATTCACACAAAGTTTATATAATAATACAGCTAAAGGGGGAGGAGGCTGTGAATTCCTAATGCTTCAGAGTGGCCTTGTTATTGCAGTATAGATAAAACGTCACTGCTGGAATGGTGATGAGCTGCATTAGTTCAAAAATAAGTTCACTTTTTAAAGAAGCTCTAAAAATTCATGAGTCTTGGCAGGGGAGGGGGCACACTCCATAGGTTAGTAAAGAGCAATCTTCTGTTCGGAGACTTTTTTCTAAAGCTGCTGAGTTATTACACAGAAATAAACATAATAGTGCAAATACACCTAAACCTACCTAAGCACTAAAGGCAAATACATGTTTAGGGCCCAAGGCCTACTAAATGCTTTACAGGTAAAGCTATATATGTGGTCCTTCCCTGCCTTAAAGTTCTTAGGGCTTGTTTGCACCAATAAATTGACCAGCAGAACTACATTTGCATTGCTATGCCAGGTTAGTGTCGGTACCAGGATTCTTAGGCGGATACCCCTCACAAGACTACAGGTTGCTTTATTAGGAGATTTCTCCATATGGTGCCAGAATAAAGTCATTTTTACTCTAGAATAGTGTTTACTCAGGGAGCTAGACCATTACTGTAGTTCTGTCTGTCACTTTTCCTTTGTAGACAAGACCTTTAAATTCCAATGGCAAGTGATAGAAGGATAAGGATTAACAGGAAGCCATCAACTGAGTAATTATTAACAGGCTTCTTGTTAATGGTGCAGTTTTGGTGTAGTGTCCCTTTTTAATGAAGAAATGAGTAAGTTTGATAGACTGTCTGTTGTTAAAGGGAGTTTTAAGAAGGGACTTCAAAGGAATTTTCCCCTTGAAATTTGGGGATAAACAATGTACAGTTATTTCGCGCTCTTCAATTTTTCAAAATATTACTATTTTTATTCAGATGGATCATCTAATCATGTTTACAACTACCAGCCATGTGATCATCCACGTCAGCCCTGTGACAGCTCATGTCCATGTGTGATTGCTCAAAACTTCTGTGAGAAGTTTTGTCAGTGCAGCTCAGAATGTAAGTAATAACTTGGAAAGGTGTCTATAATTGGAAGTCTCTTCAGTCTTACTAGGTTGACATGTAAACTCACTGTTGGAAAATAAAGGACTACAGATGATCAATAATGGCCTTATGCTTTCAGGGAAGTTTACCAGGCTATTTATATTTGCGGGTTACCTGCTTGGAGTTTTTTGTTCAGAATTCACAGGTGGCACAGTTCGTCTGAGTGTTCCACGGCAGCATTACAGAAAGTTGAAATGTAGTTGCCTGACTTTTTAAGACCTGGTGGTTGAAGCATGTAAATTTAAGCCCTGATCCTCCAGCCATTTAAGTATATATTTCAATGGGACTGCCGATTGTGTAGAATGAAGTACGTATACTTAAGTGCTTGTAGGATGGGAGCAGTATCTGGGAGTATTGAATTTCTTTAGTCAGGCCTTACAAAGAAGCTACTGTACCCACTTTTCTGTTTTTGAAGCAGCAGTACTGCTTCTCTCTGTAAGAGACTATAGAAGAATTCACTCCTAATAACCACGGATGGGTGCTCTGTTCACTTTTACATTTGCTTTTAAGCATTGATGAATTGTAACATTCGGGAATCACAGGCATTTTGGCTAGTTGTGGGGCATTCACTGTGATGTAATGTAGAGGTTGTTAGTCTGTTGTTCTTAAGCAATAGTTTATAACATTTTTTTTCCTCTAGAGAAGTGAGATTCCATGGCCCTATAGCCCCATTTTCTATTTTTCTGTCCCATGCCATATTCACTGTGTTTCAATCCATGCAGCTCCTTCTACTTTTCTTGGGTGATTTTTCTTCTTTCTTAATCATGTAGCATCAGTGTCACTGGAAGTCCCTTTAAGATTGTTACAAAATCTACAAAACTACACTTACATCTGGGCTCCTGTAGTTACAGGTTATTTTCCAGCCAGTGTTATCTTTTGTAATATCTCATTGTTAAGCATTTCTGTCCTTTTAGGTTGTTCCTCTAGCACCAGAATTCAAAACTTCTGAAACTTCTTTCAGCTTTTTTAAGGGACTTGTACTCTTTCAGAGATCTAAGCCTATGTAGCACCAGATGCAGTTTTGATTTTAGCTTTGGCTTCAATTTGCAGCAGACGGTAGGATTTTTTTTCTTGCATGCAGCCATTTCGCTTACTGTTTCCATTTTAAAGGCCAAAACAGGTTTCCTGGATGCCGCTGTAAAGCACAATGCAACACTAAGCAGTGTCCATGCTATCTGGCTGTGCGTGAATGTGATCCAGACCTCTGTCTGACGTGCGGAGCGGCTGATCACTGGGACAGCAAAAATGTTTCTTGCAAGAACTGCAGCATTCAAAGAGGATCCAAAAAGGTATGTACGCTTCTCCAGACAAACCTCGTCTTTTCGTCTTGTGTTATGTGTTTTCCTGTTGGCTGTCTGGGCAGGGGAGGTGGGGGAGGGGTTGTGTCCAAGTATTTCCATAATGGTGCTTGAAATTTTCCAGTGCTTTCAGTGGCTAACCAAAGGCCTAGCCTAACACAAAGTAACTTTTACCTGCCTTGTCATTCAATTACCTCTTGTCGTAAGGTCCTCACAGCATGCGCCACCACAACACAGGAATTTTTATACTGTATTGGAGTATAGCATCTCTCACTGTCTCCCAGTACTAACTCCTGTGTGACTGTGTGTAAACTCTTCTCTTGTAGGCTGCAAAACAACCTGTTGTTCTTAAGTGATAGTTTATAAACCCTTTTTCTCTACAACAGTGTTTCTAAATCTGTTAGATTTCATGGTCTACAGCCACCACACTACCTTCTGCCCCCCCAAGGCCATTTTTCCCCATGATCTCTTTATAGCCATGCTGCAGACATGCCTAAGCTAGCTCTGCACAGTAGGTCTGGAATGGAACAATGTTTGTTTGGCATGGCACCTGAGTTTAATGAGCTCAGTCTCTTAGCAGAGCTAATTAACCTGTCCACAGCACTGTACACTTTAGCAACTGGAGCTGCTTGGTGCCAGGAATACTGAAGGGAGAGGGTGGAGTGTGATTGATTGGCCAGTAGGCACTCCCATTTTATCCCCAGAGCTGCATTTATATCTTGCTAGTTGAAAGCCGCTGCTCTACTCCATTTGCATGCGGTCAGAAAACATTAAGTAAGAACTGAACTTCTATTTGTAGACTTTTTTAAAAATGTCTTAATTTTCTTACTGCATTTTCTTGCATATAACCTGCACCCTGCTCCCCCCCCATAACCAGCTGGGGAAAATTAGGGTGTGCATTATATGCAAGGAATATGGGTCTAGAACAGGGGTGGGCAAAATGCGGCCCGGGGGCCAGATGTGGCCTACCAGGCCATTCTATCCAGCCTGCGGGGCCCCTAAAAAAAATTTAGAAAATTAATATTTATCTGCCCCTGGCTGCCTGCCATGTGGCCCTCGATGGCTTGTCAAAACTCAGTAAGTGGCCTTCTACCCAAAATAATTGCCTGCCCCTGCTCTAGAAATTGGGAGGGGTGACAGCATTAATGGATGCAATTTTGGGAGCAATGGCAATTAACCCTGCCACAGCTCCTTTTCCCTCCCCCAGATTTCCAGACCACAGGTCTGACCCATCACACAGCTCCTGACTTGGCCTATGGCTCCAGACAGAGCCAGTCCACAAGGCTGGACCTGGCACACGTTCTTGGAGTTAGTGTGCTGGATTGGGACCTGGCCCCAATACCAGTGTGGTGGTTTGGGCTTGCACTGTTGCATAGCCCCCAGCCCTGGCAAACCCCATGCCTCTGATACTTAATGGTACTTCAAGGTAAAAATTCCCTTTCCCATTCCTTTTTGCAGCCTTCTAAACATAGAGTGCAAGTTATGTTCAAGGTCATGTAGCATGCAAGAAAACATGGTATTTTATTCTGCGCTATGTAAGTTTAATATATCCACATATAGTTCTGGTTCATCTTCTTTGGACTTATAACCAATGGATTCCTACCTTGAAATGCTCTTTTGATAGCTCTGTGTATATGTCTTCCTTCATGTGCAGTTTTCGTTCCTTCCAACCCAACTTGTGCCCGTGTGTAGGTTACAGCTATTTGATCTTTGTCAGCTTGTCTCCTCTCAGGGACATGATGTAGGTTTGAGGCTAAGCAAGTCAGGCTTTGTTTCTTTCTTTTCCCCCATCCAATAGCATTTGCTGCTAGCACCTTCAGATGTCGCAGGCTGGGGGATTTTCATCAAAGATCCTGTACAGAAGAATGAATTCATCTCTGAGTACTGTGGTGAGGTAAGGAAAGATGATACCATTCAAGCACATGCTTAATTGGTGCAGTTCTGCCAGCCCAAGTAAGAAAATGTTTTAAATAGTATTTGTGGAGCACAGTGGTATGTTGTTTCAACTGAATATAAAGCAAAACTGATTAATGCCTCTCAGATTAAGGTTTAGTTTCCAGATTTACTACCAATTTTGAGGAATTACAAAATTCCTTGTAACAGTTTGCACCAAGTTTTACATATTTGGCCTTTGAAATTCCAGGGAATCTTAATCTTGTGAATGGCAGTTGTCACCAAAAATATTTATTAAATTGGCATTTGTCTATTGAAAAGATATTTCATAAAATGCCACGGCCTGTGAGGACAGGGGCTGGGTGGATCTGAGAAGCAATTGCAGTTCAAGCAAATCTGGGGCTTCAAGCAGAATGATTCACTTTGTCAGCCTAATGGGCTTCTAGGCCCCATGCTGTGTGTGGGAGTTAAGCTGTGAGGAACAGAGCACTAAGACCCAAAGCTGTTCTGAAAGGATCAGAATTACAAAATAATTCACTATTTTGGGCTGATTGACAGCACTGCTTTGGCAGGATTTGGGACTTGGCTTTTCCTTTATGGAATGGGGAATGGCTGAGTTGGAGTTGTACTCATCTGCAAGATGACGACTGGTTGGCCATCCAGCCATCCTTTTGGTAGCTAGCCAGCAGAGTAGCATCTGTTTAAGACATTTCTCAGCTGCCTTAGCTGCAGAATTGGAGTTAATATTGAAAGTGCATTTAAGAGTAAGCATGCGAATAGTTATGTGATGACTTAACAGCTGGAGCCACTTTAATGCATAGGTAGTGGAACAGAGAGGGCAGCATTCTTGGTGTTAGTATAGTTATAAATGTAAAACAAACTATTTGCTTTGTATGCACTTTCTTTCAGATTATTTCTCAGGATGAGGCAGATAGAAGAGGAAAGGTATACGATAAGTACATGTGCAGCTTTCTGTTCAACTTGAATAATGGTAAGTATGTTGACTGATCATGCTAAAATTGCTTGTGATAGAACTTGAGCTCCTTCCATCACATCTAAATCAAATGCAGAACTATTCACTTAGCACAAGTTTCTAATGGCAGTAGATGGGGCTTGCAAAGGTGGAAAAGACTTGGGTTGAAGCTGAATTGGTGTCTTGCCCTAGTCCACTTCCCAGAAGGTGGAGGTTTCTGCACTGGCAACAAATAACAAAAGAGGTTTGGAAGTAGTCTTGCCTCATCTTCCCATAGCAAACTGGTAGGCTGCTAAGCACTCCTCCCGTGTGCATACTTCAGTGGAAATCAAATGTCACCCAAACTGAATTTGACATCACACAATGCAACAGTGTTGATAAGACCAGAAACACAAATTCTTTAGTTCCTGTCTACAAAAAGTTATCAAAATATAAATGGGAAATTGTTATGCATCTCTTGTCTTCATTGGTGGCTGTCATCGCAGTTTCAGGGGCTAGTTGGCAGCCAAGTGGGAGAGTTGATATCTCTATCATATGATAGTGTTTACACAAAAAAGGACTCCTTTTATTATGTGTGCATGTATAAATGTACGTGTGTGTGTATATAAAAAGTTAGTGGAAAACACTTTCACAAGCTTGCGCTCCTAGAAGGAAGAGAGGGATGTTTCAAAAATACACACACCACTCTATCATCTGGGCAGGGACCAAGGTAGTTTGCTTAACTCAAGGGTTTTCAACCTTTTTTAGTAAGTGTACTCCTGGTGGCCAAACGTGGGGGGGGGCAGTACACAAAACAGCAGCAACGCAGGGTGGTGGCTGCTGTGTGTGAGCTTCCCATCCTGCTGCATGTCCAGCCAGCTGGGTGGTACCCTCACCCTGCCCCAGGCTTGCACTTACCCCCTAGGGCCCTCCCAAGTACCTCCCAGTTGACAACCCCTGGCTTAACTCCTAGTAAAATTGGAAACATACCAATTACAGGCAGTTTTGCCCGACTCCCAAACAATGGTAACTTCTTGACTCTTCTGCTTGAAAAGTCAGCATTAGATACTTTAGACTTCAGAAGTTAAATGTGCCAAAGCCATAGAGCATGCTAGGGCCATAAAATGGGCCACAGGCCCTTCTTTTTTCTCTCAAATTGTATTTAGAGGCAGCCTGTTCCAACTGTACTTATTATTTTCTAGATTTTGTGGTTGATGCAACACGGAAGGGCAACAAAATTCGATTTGCAAACCATTCAGTAAATCCCAACTGCTATGCAAAAGGTAAATGTTATACAGTGTTTAAATCAGCACTAATTGTTTTTGTATTGACTAAGAATAGATGGCGGTAGGAGCATATTTTAAGTACAGCTAGGTGTGAAAATATCAGAGCACTAAGAACCTAACCATTTACTTTTTCTTTACAGTTATGATGGTTAATGGAGATCATAGAATAGGTATATTTGCTAAGAGAGCCATTCAGACTGGTGAAGAGCTGTTTTTTGACTACAGGTTGGTAGACTTAAATTATTTTTCCAGTTAGACCAGTTCTTAAATATGAGATATGTAAGCTAAAGTGTTTACCAGTATAAACTGGTAATGTAATAGGTAGGGGTGGGTTTTCCAAAGTAATAATTGTGCTGTTCCTTTTTTTTCTAGTACAGGTGGCCTTGGTCTTGCACTCCATTGTGGGCTAACCAAACACACCTGAAGCAGACTGCCATTCTAGTCACACCAGTGTGCATAGATTTTTAAAGATAGATTTATGCATGACTGGTCAGCGTTGTAGATATGCTTCTTTTTCACTTAGTGACTTAGCACTTGGGCTAACATCCTCCGAGTATTTGCTCCTTTCAATGTAGCAGCCCAGAAGAGTACATAAAGTGCTCAGCCTCCCCTTCCAATATGGAGGGCAAGTTAAGTGCTTAAGGAAGGGATTCTAAGTTTGTAAAATGAGAAAAAAAGAAATCTAAACACAGCCCTGGGCACACGTCTGCTTGAGATTTGCCAACTGTGAGGCATCCAAACATAATGAACCTGTTATTTTCTTTTGAGTTTGACAGAGTCAATGTTTTTGTCTCTATTTCAGATATAGCCAGGCTGATGCCCTTAAATACGTGGGCATTGAAAGAGAAATGGAAATCCCTTGATACCAGCTACCTCTTCTCTCTCAAACAGAACAGCTGCCTTATCTTCAGGAATTTCTAGTACTGTGGGCAATTTTAGACCAATAAAATGATGCAATTTGAAATTCTGAATTTGCAAAGTACTGTAACAGTAATTTATAGTAAAAAATTTCAAAATCAACTTTTTATTGCCTTCTCACCAGCTGCAAAGTGTTTTTGTACCAATGAACTTTTGCAATAATGCGGTGTGGTACACTTTTTCAATCTTGAATAAAGGATACTTGAACTACAGCATGCGGAGTACAGTTGAGATGTAATTCTGTACTAGACTGCAAACACTTTGGCTTCCTGAAGACTAAATCTTGAACTACCAGTTTCCTGAAGACACTGATGTTTTCCCCTCTAATATTATAATATCAAAGCTTTCATTTTATAAACTCTTGGGACATATAGACCAATGCATGACTGTTAAGCATGGTCGTTAGCTGCCCTAGTTCAATGACTTGCTATGGAAAACACTGAAATCAAAACATACTGACAAAAGAATAACTTGAGTGCCAAAGGACAGTAGTGCTCAATCTAAATTTTGTTGTCATTGGTTAGAGCACCATCTAGTGTATTTTTTTGCATATAACAAGGTGAGAGCTGGGATTGGCTAAAGGTTTACTCTTGTCTGCATTAAGATTCTTGGCCAACCTGGATTTAAGATGCAACATAGAACTGTGATAACAGCTGCTAATCAAAATTTGAGGAAGCAACAGCATTCAGTCAGGCTTCTTGTATCACTGAATATAGATTCTTCTACCTCATCTTTAAATACAATTTATTACATGTTCACTCAGTGTCCTGAAAAGACTTCTTTACCCAAGAGAATCCTTGGTCTAAAGGTGTTAGGTCCAGTAGTTGGGAACTTGAACAAGTAATTGAGGAATAGTAAGTTACATTTTATTCCATGTCTGAGATATTTAGAAGTTACTTACTTTGCACCTATGAAATGCATTAGTTCCTGCTTCATATGGAGTCTCCCTGTACCAGTCTAAAATGATGGGGGAATGTTTACAATAAGTGGAAACTAGCCTGGTAATAGATTATGTCTCGCACTACTTTTTAGCGTTAGAAGCATTGTGGTAATTTAGTTTGCAAACCTATTTACTAGAATGCACACTAAATTCAGATTCAGTCTATAATGACCCAGAGCAAAACAATTCAGCAACTTTGTTTTAACTATCCTTCCTTAAACTCCAATTAACACCCATATGGAATAATCTGGGAACAGCTTGGGGACTGGCTCTGGCTTAATTCTGCACTTGTAGGAACTAGAGCAGGGGTTCCTAAAGTTCGTATGCCATGGGGCAGTGGCACCTGCAAGACACCACGTTGGGAACTGCTGCGCTAGAAAGGGGAGAAATGGATTAATTGAGTATGCAACAAGAGCTGCCACATGCTCACAGTGAGGCTTGGTTAGAAAAAGGTGTTTGGGGGAAGGTGGGGGGAAGTTTATTATATCAGCATTTGACTACATTATAAGCTATGTCCGGAATATTTCACCCTTATTAACAAGAATTTTTGTGAGAAATGCCAACTCTGACGTGCTTCCAGCCACACCCTGTATTTACAGTGGGTCACACTAGGATAGAAACTTGCCCTCCATTTTTAAGGGGGCCATAGAGGGATGATATTAGCTGGCCTAAAACTGAAGTGTGAACCACCTAGTGACCATTTAGGAAAAAGAATGCTAGGACTAAACTGATACCACTTCAGTGCCATGCAGCATAGTGGTGAAAGGCAAGGACAGCTTGCTTGATCCAGGCAGAGAGCAGACTCCCTTTGTTCCATTTGGGACTGAGCATTCACATCAAGGACAGGGGTTTGAGGACAGTGTTTCACGAAAGAGCTACAAGTGGCTGCAGAATGTAACTGAGCAAAGGGACAACTGTGCTGATTCTCAGTTTTTCAAAGGAGGGGGAAAAGCGCTGACCTTTTCTTTAGCTCAGTCACTGTTTTGTTCAGTTCTGTCTAATAACCTGGCAACTTCACGGTGTATGGGCTTCCATGTCCATTATTAGCAACAGTGCACACAGCTAAATGCATGCTGCTTGGCTCAAAATGGAAGACAAGTGGAGAGGGAGCTCCTTCAGCAAGTAGCATCACAAAGCAAAGAGGAACATTTAAAATTACAAGTTAAATGTTGGATCTGATGACCAAAGCATTAACATTACACTGTATTTACCATGATAGTCCACAGCTGTATTGTCAGCTGTTTCTACAAAGATAATTCCTCTTTTGAGGTGACGTTGCAATACTACATATGTCCAAGCTGCTGGCCAGCAGTCCCTGTGATCATAGTTATGGTCTAGAATCAAAAGCAGTTCTCTATCTAGTGCACTAGTTCTCAACCAGGGTACCTTGAGTTCCTTTCAAGGGTGCCATGCAATGTTTGCACTGGGAGGCGTGCAAACATGACTCGAGACAAACACGGAGATTTCAGAAGGAAATCTAGAGTGTCAAAAACATTCTGACCTGTTGTGGTGTGAGTTTTTTGCAACACAAAAACTATTATTTTTCCATTGCCAAGAAACATGAAAGCTAAGACCTGGCATTTTCAAAGAGGTACCTTGACTCTAAAAAGGTTAAGAACTACTGCTCTAGTGAGCTGTGTGTGGTGTTAGGGGGGATGCTTTATTTTGAGTGGTGAACACCTGTGCTCTTCTTCATCAAGTCCATGTTGCTCTGCCTACCTGCTGGAATACCTTTCCACCAGCTTGCAACAACTGCAAAAGCTCTCTGAGAAAAGGCTCCAGAAAACAGCACAGACATTCTCTCATTCAGTTTCCCTGGGAACGTACAATGCCTTCAAAATGCCTCTGATCTGCAGAATACTTTAGGGACCAGAGAACCTGCTTTAAGTCTGCATTTGTGCTGTCTTCGCAATGTAGTAATGGAAACAACACTGCCACAACAGCACACAGAACCCACTGCTCAACCATGTTTGAACAGTCCTTTCACACTACAGCAAAAGCCTTTTCTCCCCAATTATCCTTATCACCCCATTTCCATCTGTGCATCTTTTAGGGATGGCAGCAGCAGACACTCACAGTAATATCTTACATTCAGTTTGTTTTTCCCCAGCAGTTGTCCACACCAACTCAGAGAGCAGCATGTCAACTTACCAGAAAGGCAGCTCTAGTCCACTTTGTAAAAGCAGACCACGTTTTTTTTGTGGTCCTGGGCAGAGTAGAGTAACCAACTCTATGAGCACAGTTGGATCACCATAAGATGCAGTTTACAAACATCTTTGTTTAGGAGGTGGCAGTTTCACTTGCAGCTTTGCCAATCCCTCAGTGCCGTGGGTATGCAATCTAGCTGTTTCAAGACGTTGAACAGCAGACATTTCTGGCATTGTAAATAGCATTTACACACAACATTCTCATTTCTCTCCACACCATGGGAGCTCGTGCCACAACAGCTATTAGCCATTTATTCCAACAGAAAAACACCGAAGATTGTGCTGAAGTATTTTTTAAATAAGCCTGGCAAGCAAGGAACACACACACACTTAGCACTAACATCCAAATCACCATTTCAAAAACAGCACTTGTGACAGGCAAGTGACTGCCAGCCTGAGACAATGCAATGGTTTGTGTTATGCTAATGACGCATTTCAGGGCATTTCTACTTTGTTTCAGAATGCCAGGAGGCATGGTAGCTACAACACACAAATCTGAGATGGAGATTGGCAACAGTGTTTGTAAAAAAAAAGTTAGGGCCAGGTGCAACAACTTGCCACCATACAGTCTGGCAGAGTAATCTTGTCACATTTAGCTTGTTTGTAAGTAGAAAGTTGGCATTCAGACAAAACAAACCAAAAAAAAAAAAAAACAGAACAGTTGTACAAACTTAACTGCTT